TCCAAATTACCATTCATAGCAGCCAAATGAAGAGGTTTGCGCTGTTCGTTGTCTGTCGAATCAACTTTGGCTCCTTTCATGATAAGCTTCTCAGCAACATCATTGTGTCCTGAAAAGTTAGTCCAGTCAATGAATTAGATCCAAGCGCTTTCTTAATTAGTGATCAAAAATATTCCAAATTACCATTCATAGCAGCCAAATGAAGAGGTTTGCGCTGTTTTTTGTCTGTCGAATCAACTTTGGCTCCTTTTTCAATTAGCTTTTCAACGTCGTCCAAATTACCTGAAACAGATCAATAAAAAAGACTCAATCAATTTCTGATTAAGTTAGCATAAATATCCAAAATTACCATTCTCAGCAGCGACATGAAGAGCTGTTCGGCCTCTTTCGTCTTTTTGGTTTACTAAAAATTGAAAGAAAAATAGATCAGTGAAGTGAATCGAGAGAAAATGTTTTACATTCGTGAGATGAACTTTTTCACACTTTCTTGTCAAAAATGATAGGGAAATGAGTGTTCCGTTAATTGGAGCAACTCTTCAATTCCACAGAAAAAGTGGGATACGTCATGTCGGAAACTCATATAATATTGAGCAGTTTTTTTTTGAAAATTTAAATACCAGAGATAAGGTAAGACATGCCATCAGATAGCTTTGATGTGCATCGTGAAATTATGTTTCAGTTTTATTGAAGCGAATCACTCAGCGGTAAACTTCAAAAAAAGATTGCGTACTAGTGTTGTGTTTAAAAAAACAACAACAACTATAACGTCAGAGATGAATGCTTATTTCAGATAGGGAACGCGAATATCACAATGACGATTAGAACAGGTGCATCAACGGAGTGAACTCTTTGGACTTTCATGGAAGCCTTAACGCGTTCATCTTTGCTTTGAGTTGATCTCCATATTTTTTGAATGCACGCGTTAAAATTTAATCTCGATTTTTTCTCAATTCGTTCGAATGTAGAAGAATTGTGAATTGAAACGATCGCCTGTATATAAAATATACACAGTACAGCTCACAACATGGGCTTTCAAGTTGAAAGTTTTAACATGTTGATCGCTATTGCTGTGTCACATACACAAACATTTGCGCTGTTTTGTTCATTGTACAAACATGCGACACACAGCACGGATCCTTTGCTACACAATCTGCCAGCTAAGACAATACGCATAACTAGCGCCACCTAACGAACCGTACCTGCGACAACATTTAATCAAACAGTAGATGGGACACAATTTGTGGTTACAATAGCACGTTCATATGATAACGGTACGCGTCGCGAGGTGGCGTTAGTTTCTACGTGTTTTTTCATGGAGATTCCCGTTGCTGTCAGACTGTGCCTTGCTAGATTGAATGGAAGTGCCTTCGTACATCACATATTTTTATATGAGTAGTTTGGAGCGAAAATGTAATACAGAAAAGTTGCGCGGAAAAATTTCGATGATGAATGAGCGGAAAAGGTATAGCTATATGAATGGATGAGATTGAAAACAAGACATATTTCCACAGTATATTCAAATGAAACACCAAAGAAAGATTTTTTTAAAGTGTAACATCGGCAGAGAATTTTTCGAAGTGAAACACCGCGTGTTACATTTCAATAAAATTTGTTTTCCATGATTCACTTTGAAAAACGTTTGCGCTGGTGTTTCGTTTGTGAATACTTGTTGGATGGTGTTTCGGTTCTGGGAATGCATGATAATTTTATTGATAAGGAATACAAATTTCAATGTGGTGATAACACCAATGGATTGGGCACATGAAATACTGTCCCAGAATCGAAAAAAAAAATTTAAACTTTTTTTTCGATTTTTGCCTGTTTCGGATCGTTTACATGGGAAGTTTGTATGAATTCGTTTTTGTATCATAACGATATATTGTCAGAATATGTCTCGTTTTCAATCTCACTCATTCATATATATATAGTAGTAGTATACTGTATAATAATCTATAGTGAACTATATAGCTATCTCTTTTCATTTGACATTTTTCCGCGCATCTTTTCTGTACTACATTTTCGCTTCAAACTACTCATATGTGGAATAGTGAGAACGAAACTTAAAAAAAGAAATGGAGCTTCAATCTTACCTTGTCCTACTGCTCCCTTCATTTTGTTAAGCAGTCCAAGACCATTCCCAGGCCCACCCTCAGTTTGCTTCAAGTTGAAAATTAGAAACGAATAAAGGATAATTAGTTTGGAATAACCAAATTGAATGAATTGACATGTAAAATTAATGGATTTTTGAAAAAAAAAAAAAAACCATTTGTAGAAATAAAATGTCGGGTAAAGAACCGTGTTGTACACTGAAGATCTCGTATCATTTTCGTGAAAAATGTAAAATAAAAACGAAAATATATGCGTTTTTAAGCATATTTTGAGGTCGAATGAAATGTCCTCTTCATAAGGTATAATTTTGTTTCGATTACTTTCTTCGTTTTCGAAAAGTCAATTTGTATGGAAAATGAAAAAAAAAGCTCTTCATGTCATCATTCGACTCGATGAAAAAAAAAATAAACAGAAAAATTTGTAAGTTACCATGAATTGGTCTCCCAAAACCGCAACCAGAATCAAACAAACTAAACGGAGAGAAAATATTGATTAAAACACAATGAATGACTGAAATCTCAAGTATTTCCAAAAATGAAAATTAGACAAAAATGATGGAAAGAAAGAATTAAGAAGAGACTCACCCATCAATTGCTTAGACATGTTTATAGTCCAATCACTTGAACAATAACTAATTGCTCACGATGTTGGTGCCCGATTTATAGTCAAAAATTAGATGTTCTAAACTTGTCAACATTATTACACGCGCAGAAAAACAAAATTCAAAACCAAATTCCTTACGATTGAATTCGAAAACCAAATATTCAAAAAAATTCTTCTCGCTGTATGTCTATTAACATCGAAAAATAAGATGTTTGGAATACACAGGTGCAGATGTAAAGATAAATGGGCTCAATATATGCCTGAAATTATTGAAAACAAGCTTCAATGGAATTTTTTTTTTCTAAGAATAATTTATTTTCGAATTGATCCAATGTATATACACCGAAAGATACCTATGTCTATGAATACTGTTTATGCAACAGTCAAAAGTTTTTTCTTTTGAATTTATGATGTGGCTGGAAAGCTTCATTTTGCTCAGCATTCACATATGATTTATTAACTTTACACATCATAATGTTGGCACATTTGCATGGCAAATTGACTCGAATCCTCAAAAATATCACTCTGATTCGGTATCGCATATTCAGCGTAATTCGGCCAAAATGATGCGATTCAGCAATCAGAATTCCCATAGACAATAAACTCTAGACTCATTCTTGAGGATTTTACTTCCAGAACACATTGGACTAGGTCGGATCCACCTACTCCACAGGATTCACTTTCAGATTTGGTAAGTCAATTTTGAGGCTGAGACCATTTTAAAATCGATAGTACAACAAAGCAACAATATCGGCATGGTTAGTTTGGCAAAAATTTATTGAAATTGATGTTCTACATGACAATCGAGTCATATTAATACGGAATTTGCAAATGAATTTTTCGAAAAATGTGTTTTCATTCGAGTTTCTTACGTCATTTCTCGCGTTTTGTTAATTTTCTTAATTATTGGTGGTTGGAATGCACAGACGCAGATGTGTAGATACGTAAATGAACACAATATTCACTTGAAATTTTACACGTGAAAAACAAGTTCCAATGAGAAACAATTTGTTATTGATGTACATAGGGGAAGTGTGGTAGAATCGATATGGAGTGTTGACTTTGAGTAAATAACTCCTTTACTTATGTTTGAAAAGTGTGCGATATAAACACATTCCAGGTGTTGTTAAACCATTTTGGAGTACGTGGGTCAGTGAGAAGAGTAAAACATTATACAAATCGTCGCCTCGAATTAAAACTAATGGTTCAATAGCTATTCCAGAGAACCAATTATGACATTTTCTTTTCTACGCAATGCAGATTGGCCACATTTATACCAACTAAACCATAGTTCATGAGTAGTATGCATGTATATAATATCAAATAAAAAACTTTCCCAAAGTCAATGCTCGTGCCGAAAGCGAACACAAAACGTTTGATATCAATTTTAAAAAATCATTTCGGAGCGATAGTTAGATGAATGCAAAATGAGCGAATTAAAATCGCTCCGAAATGATTTTTAAAAAATTGATATCACACGTTTTGTGTTCGCTTTCGGCACGAGCATAGACTTTGGGAAAGTTTTTTATTTGATTCTATATTACACAGAGAAATGTTCACAGCAGAGGAATTGGCGGACATCTTGTATGCAACAACAGTTGAAAAATTTAAATCAAGCAAACTCGTTCAAGAGCCACGGTCTTTTCCAGAATTTCAATGGAAGAATGATCAACAATTAGATTGTATAATAGAAAATACAGCCGGCAAAAATACTTATACTTATGTTTCGAGCGGATCTGCACATTTTTCGGTTGATTATCCAGTTTTGCTCGGAAAAATTCATTTTCAGCGCCTTCACAAGATAAAAGATGGTCCATCATCACAAATATGCGTATATTTAAAAATAAACATTGCCGAAAAGAATGAAATCTCGAAACGAATCATCTGTACAAATGATCACAATTACAACAAGGAGAATCCGTCGTGTTTAGAGCTACAGCGACCAATTTTAATCAATCCTGATAAAACGTACGAAATCTCATGGGAAGGAGTAAGCAAAAATTGTTCGGACTACTACTATTATTATTCTTCGAATGAAAATTACACATTAACTGGAGGAATTACTGTGAAATTCAAAAATCAATATCCTTATTGTAATATGGGCCTTATATCTCGTTTGTGCTTAAATCGACTATGGAAGATGCATTTTTGAGAGAAGCGTTGAAATGTCAACTGAATGAAAGAAACTTCTAAAAAATTTAAGTAATTCTAAGAAAAACCACTTTTTGAAAGTCAACAAACGTTTTATTTTTCATTTGAAGAAACGATAAAGTTTTTGATTTTAATTAAACATTACAATAATTGACTATTCTTTCAATTTTACAACGATTAAGTTTACAAACGATTAAGTCAAACGATTATGAATCAATGAATGGACACTTTAAGCATTTTGATAGGCTAATAAATGAAGTGGATGAAAAATACAATTCAATAAAATAATCTCATTGTTCATGAATATGAGTTTTTTTTATTTACGCTATGTCATTCTTTGTAAATGTCATTCATTAACGCTAAAAACCACCCAAAACATGATTCTAATTTTGGGAAAAAATTTAAATTTTGAAACTGTTCCGTTAGATTTGGAAAATGAACGGTTGAACAAATTGTTTGTAAGTATTAAAAAAGGTAAGTGTAACTCTTAAGCACAAAAGTCAATCTTGTATTTGAATCGATTGCTGTAAGTATAACGTTTTAGACTTTCACTTATTACAACGTTGAAAATTGTATAGATTTTCTGTAAGGAATCACTCAACAAATTAAGAATTGCGTTTTAACACTTTTAGAAGTTATTCAATGAAGCTTATCACTAAAATGTGTAATACATCACACCGAGTATTCTAAAACAAAACGTTTTCGGACGCCCAAAACCATTCACTGAGAAATGGAAAACTGATTCAAACTGCTTGGCAGTTTATTGAAACTGAAAACTGTTGCGTGGGTTGTTCGACGCTTTTATACCAATTTATTCAACTTTTTTCCATTTCCTTGATAATTGAAATGGATAAGAATCGTTCAATTTCACACTTCGTTTGCCTGCGAATGGTTTAGTAAGCGAGTGATTCACATCCTTTGTGCCGCTTCTAATTCCATTGCGATGGAGTCGCATGTGCCGTCTAATAAATCAATTGAAATGGGTGCGTGTGGCTAAAATTAGATTTGCTCTTATCATCCACTGCACACATGTTGCACTGAACAGTGAACGCTGTACGCAATGTAATCGGGCAAAATTCAAGTAAGTAGAGTTTGAAATTGATTTTCAGCCGTTTGAGTTGACTCTTTTTATGGCCACACATGATGGAAAGTGTAACGAAGTTCCTCTTATCAGTTTTTTTTTTTCAAGAAAAAACATTTTCATTGCCAAAGAAAATTTACGCCGTTGACGTCATTCCATTCATAAATGTTGAGTAAATCTTGGAATATTCCTTGCGCCGTTGTAAACATCTTTTTGTGTTGAACTTTCGTTGTTGACATTTTTTTTAGTTTTCGTGTCTAAATTTCAATGGAATTCACAAGACGCTACAATCAAATCAGGATACTCAATGAAACACAGTGAATTTTGCATGAAGATTATACAAAAATTCCTCGATCGATTTTGTGCAGAAGAATCGTAAATTAGATGGAAGATTGTAGACTACAATTTTTGGTAAACATATTACCTTAGCAAGTCATGCGTTAGCTCAAAAATACTTCAATTGAAGTGTGTTTTCAAAAGCAAGAAGGAAGATTTTTTATCCGCTCATTTATTCTAAACAAAAACAAGACCGCAGATCGTCGCTTCGCTCCTCTCTGCGTTCTTTTTGCGTTGTTTTAAATGGTTTTTTTAAACGTTAATTTGATTTTTCCATCAAATTATTCATTCAAGCACTACATGGAATGTAGTTTCAATCGAAGTATACATTTCTGTATTTTATGAAAATTATTTTAATCAAAATCAATAATGTTCGACCCGGACAAAAAGTTCATTAGACGAATCTTTCACTAAATTGCCGTACTTTGAAAAAATTAAATATATAAGAGAAACATTAAAAAATTTGGTTATAAGACATATAGATAAATAAATAAATATTAATATATATTAATTAAATAAATTATGGTATAATTAATTATTTTATTTTAGTTTTGGGAACCGTGGATTGTACATTAGTTCACATTGAGAATTAAAATAATATTAAATTTTTTTTTTGAGTTATCTCAAACATGAATTACATGAACATGACATTATTATATTTTTGTAATTAGACGTAATTGCTTTATTTCAAATTAGAACTTTGGATAGAAAGAAGAGTTAATTTTCGGTCCAAAAATAAGGCCTAAAGAGTCTTAAAAATTTCTTGGGAAAAAAAAACAAATGCAATAGCCTTATTCCATGTATTCTACATTCCATGTAGTGCTAAAAAACTAAATCACGACCAATAGTTGATTAAGTTCTCTGCATATGTCTATTTCTTTACATTCCAAACGATACCAACTTCTTTTTCTCAACTTGAAGATTACACGTGTGGAAAGTCTTGAGACGAATCTTTTAAATTTTTATACAGTCATATTCCATCATTTTTAAGAACAATTCTGCTGCTGCCCAACAGCCGGCTGTTCTGGAAATATTAGAAATTGCTCCACTCACTTGAATTATTGACTAAATTAAAATTTCTTCAATTGACACTGTTTCAGTGGTAAATTTCCCAAATTCTATCAATTGACACCTGATTTGTGTTCTCCAAATCAAAGGAAATTGTGGTAAAAGTCGGAATAGCTGAAATGGAAATTCGATTGTTTGGAAAAGAGATGAATCACCAATGTATGAAATACAATTGACTATCTCAACTTGGAAATTTTCGCATTGATTAGAAATAAACTTAAGAAGAAATTTCTTCTAATTAGAAGTTTTTTTGGCAGCCTTGGATTTATTGTCTATTTTTAGAATTCTTTTGAATATCTATCTAAAATTGTGCAATAGCGAAAAAAAAGCAAATAAAAACTGTGACAATTTACATCATTTCTGAAATACCAATTCGGATAACTACTACAAAGATATTTCCTTCAAAAAAGGGTTTTCTTATACGACCAACTTTACGCCGGTTCAAAATGTCACCACTGACAATACCAAAGCAACATACCATTTCGACAGCATAGCCAGTGAATTATACTTTTATTCATTCGCGCACAGTTGAAAGAGTCAAACACAAATAGGCGGCCATTGAAGCAGTAGTACAAAGAAATCGAATTATTTTTCGTCTATTTTTGCATTGCGCAAACAAAGACAAAGGTGAGTTATAGAAACATTTCCATTTTTATCCAATTAATCTGAAGTTGGAATAGTTTGAAAAGTGTCCATTGAAAAGAAATAAATCGATGTGAATTAATTGGTCGCAATTTTTTTACGGATTGCATCAGAAAGTCTAATGTGCATTTCTTGTCATACGAGTCAGTCTAGAAAATGAATTTTTCTTCAATAAATTCTATTTGAATGGAACATTAATCATTCTCATCACGAGAAATAGTAAAATCTCATGGTTTTCGATCATTTTTTGTTCAAATTTCTGCTTCTTGGAAATTTGATGACGTCATTCCATGTTTCACACTTTGTTCGACAAATGTCATTTGTGACTTATTTCCTTGTGTTGTATGTGATGGTTGCACAAAGCACACTGATTCAACTTTTGGGAATTAAAATTTCAACGGGAGAGAGATAAAAAAGTATGAAAAATAAAGAAGAGGCTTCGTTGAAACAATCAAAATTCAAATCCAATACAAAATCGAATGAACAATTGTTATTTTTATTCGCATAGTTACAGCAACGATGAATCCGTATCCGAATGAAGGAACATCTGATGGCAATGCAATGCGTAAACGCAGGCTTGCACCAACAAACAGATCAGTCGAAGTCAAACCGAAAGCTGTTGCAAAAGAAGAGCCAGAGGACAACACAGAAGCAGATGACAATGTGACATCGGAGGCCGAGACCGAGAGTCAACAGCCACCAGTAAAAGGTAAACGGCCACGTGGAAGACCAAAGAAACTGAAACCGAGCAATGAACAAAATATGGCGGTGGCAGCCGGAAAAAGGCCACGTGGACGGCCAAAAAAACAGCTTCCAAGCACACAACCATTGGATATCTGATCCCATAAAACACAAAGTTTAGCGGCAACTAAACCAAACACCTTCAAAATTTACGAAAACAAAAATTTTCTACAAGAAACAGAATTAGATTTATTATTTCAATGCATTCTCCAAATTAATACTGAAATGTATGGGAAAAAAAGACTAATTTCATTCAATTAAAAGTTCAAGTAACTACTAAAACCGGATATTTTTGTTTCAAAAAGTTTTGCTTCTCTAATTTAGCTGGAAATGTAGAAAAAAAAATTAGAGCAAGAACAATGTAAGTATGAATTTGGTTTTGAGAGTCGGTGAGACCATTATTGTTTGATGGACAGCAATGCACAGGTATCGAATGAAAAAAAACTTTATCCAAGTCAATTCTCGGGCCAAAGGTGTACACAAAAGTGATGACATAGATTTTTCGACATCGTTCTTTCGTTATTATTTAAAATTAATGATTTGTGACCATTTCTCTTTTGCAACCGAACACACAAAACATTATCAAGTCTCAGAATTGAATTTAATAAAATGTAAAATGAAACAACAAGCTGTATCCGAGGGAAATAAAGTTTATCAATCTCAAAATAAATGTTGCGATGAGTTTAAACTTTCCTATTTCCAGCAAACAAAAACCTCCGAAAATCGGCTCTCTGCAAATTAATTCACATAAAAATTGTCGCTTGGTACCAAACAACTGCAGCAAGAACATGTTCGCCTTTTTCATTCAATCTTTAATTGCATCTCTTGGTTTTGTTTTTTTAATATTCATCGAATAAGAAACCGAAACTATTGCCGTGGATTCAATTAGAAAAGAAAAAAAATCAAAAAAAAAATCGACCAACTTCACTTTGGTCCAAAACGTCACCGCTGACAAAACCGATGCGCGCCATTTGCACACTTGGCGAATTACACTCATTCATTTGCACATACTAAAAGAAGACGACCACAAGTAGTCAGCCATTGAATAAACACACGAGCAAATTGAATCATTTCATACTCGATTTGGTTATTGCGCAAGCAAATTGAAGGTGAGTTTTTGAAAATTTTCTATTTTTCATTGCATTTAATTTGGTTTTTGTGTGGAATAGTTCAAAAAGTGTGAAAATCCCATTGCAAACAAATAGAACGATGTGATTTTGTCTGATGCTATTTCATCGCGGATTTTGCAAAAGAGTCAATTTTTAGTGTTTCTCTATGCAAATTAGCTCGGAAAAGTTAATTTTATCGAAAGTGCGAGAGTTCTTTTTTTACCGACAAATATTGATTTATTTGCTTTGCATTTCTTGATTCGTTCATTTTTCTTCATTTTTCTGTTCTTCTCGGAAACTTGATGACAACTTTCCATGCTTCAGACTTTGTTTGAGAAATGTCATTTGTGATTGTCCATGTCCATTGATTGTGTGAGACACACAATGTGTTACAGGCATAAAACACACTATTTTGACTTTTGACGATTCAGATATTGATATCGAAAATAAACCAGATCTTTTAGTAAAAAAGCGCACAGCTCAATAGACTTGAATCTATATTTCAAAAAGTTTATTGTTTTTTTAATCGCATAGCAAAACCGAGTCACGATGAACCCGTATCCAAGTAAAGGTACTTGCGGTGGCAAAGGCAAACGGAGACGTAAGCGTAGATCATTGAACACAACAATCGAGGTCAAACAAGAGAATGTTGTCAAAGAGGAGCCGAGAGACAACGTTGGAATGGTTGATGTTACACGGCCACCACGACAACCACCATCAACCGAAGCAATTGATGTGATCAAATCGGAGGCGGACACCGACAGCGAGATGTATTTCGAATACGCCGACGATTGCGTGAAGAGAGAGATCAAAAGTGAAGATGAATGTACAAAGAAGGGATGCGATTCGGCACAAGGTGCAAACTCCAATGGAGGTGACGATCAACATGATGAGCCGATTGATGGAAACCCAACCAATCCGCGAACGAGTTCAAACGACAATGACGAACAACGCAAACGGAAGGCAAAAACACAAAAGAAGCCAAGCGATCGAAAGAAGACGACTAACGCCAGGGCTTCGAATAAAGCAGCAGTGAAGAGACAGAAAAAACACATGTGCCATTTGTGTAGCTACGCCGCATCGCAAAAATGGTTACTTACAAGACACGTTCGAGTCCACACCGGCGAGAGGCCATTCGAGTGCAAAATATGTGCAAAATCTTTTTCATTGAAAAGAAATTTGTGTCGCCATGAAAAATTCCACGGTCCCCGATTGGCATTCCGTTGTTTAAAATGTTGTCGTGAATTTGCTCAAGAAACTGATAAGAACGATCATGAATCCAACTGCAAATGTCCTCGGCTCGAGTGCTATGCGTGCAAATACACTACATTCCAATTGTCGTTCATGAAGCAACATATGCGAACCCATAGTGGACAAAAGCTATTCGCATGTTCGGTTTGCGTCCAAACATTCATGCAAAAAAATCATCTGCGCCAACATTCACGAACTCACATCAAACAGCTTCCATTCGCTTGTTCAAACTGTGGACAACGATTTAACAACGATAACGAGAAACAATCGCACGAGAAACGGTGCACTTGTCGACGATACGAATGCTATTTGTGCTTTCACAAATGTTTCACAAAAAATCGTTTGAAGCAGCACATGCGATCAAAGCACACCAGCGACATGCCATTCGAATGTGCAGTTTGTGGACTGAAATTTTCTTACCATTCCGACCTAAAACGACATTTGACCACGCATGCAAAACCACGTCCGTTCCGTTGCTTGAAATGCTGGAAGTCATTTAAAGAGGAAGGGAAGAAGAATGCGCACGAAGGACAGTGTAATAGCCGTCTTCATCAGTGTTATCTTTGCAAAGCTAACACACTTGATTCAGCAAGTCTGAAGAAACATTTTCGTGCTCTTCACACAGGCGAACGACCATTTGAATGCAAATTTTGCGAAGTTCGCTTTGTGGACAAATATTCTGCTGCTCGTCATATGAAACACCGCCACAATTTGGAGAACTTAATTCAATTGAGCCGAACAAAACACAAACCAAATTCAATTTAATTTCATCATGTTTTCCATACTTTGTATTCACGAAAAAAAAAAAATTAGAGGTTGAAATAAGCCCGAAATGATATAAAAAAAATTCACTTTCGAACATAATAAGTATTTATTCGCCGAAATTATACCAAATTTTCGCTTAAATCAAACCGAATAACAAATTAAATGGAATTTACTCACTTTTTCACTCTCATTAAAAGCTGATAAATCTTTATTTACTATCAATTAAGCAGAATGTGTTCAAAACCGGGATATATCCGAAATTGGATCTATCAAAATGGAACCTTCTTTAGTAATTTTTGACCTTATAAACATCGAAGAATGTGTTCGTATGCATTTTTTTTAAATTTTCAGTACTGCAACAAAAACTGGATACTTTCTGAAAAACAGATATTGATTTATGTACAACGCCACTTAATCGTTCGTGGCTGGAAAACCATGTTTCGTCAATCTTTACTTTATTCTTAACTCAATGGAATTGTCACTCCACCAATACAACCACATTTTTTTCGAGTCATGCTAATAAATAAAGTCATGTCAATTTTAAAATGTGTGTTTATTATTAAAACACAACTGTAAAATTCGTTTTAGATTTGAAGTCCAGAAGAATTTTATGATTTTCATCATCGATTTTAATTAGTTCCAAGCAAAACAACTTTAAATACCTACACAGATTTTGATTCAATATAAATGCAATGAATGAATAGAAAGTACAATTGAAAGGAACGCTTGCGTTCTACCCGCTATCAAATCTGATCATTTTGATAATATTTCTTGTGCATGCTTATCAATCTATTAAAATGCATTAAGACTCTTGTAATCATTGTTAAGTAATCAATTAAGACGAAATTACAAAAAATTCCAACCAAGGGAAATTGTTCCATATTTTGCAGAGAACAACATAAATCATCATAAGCTAATAAGCTATGTCAGCTGATTTCAACAATGGTTTACTTTGAAAATTAACCAATATTTCATTAAAAAAACGAGTAAACGGCCCTGGGTGAGTTTGATATATTTTTCATCTGTTAATCCAAGTGCAAATTCTGTTTTCTGTTTGATTTTCAAAATAAATAAAACTCTGTGCATTTATCCTGTTCTCAATGATATATATCTCTATATATTTTCATGTTTGTTTTGCGATTCGATACAAAAGAAAAAAGAACTTTAACTTGATTTATTCTTTTTTACGGCTGGTTGGTCTCTGGGTATTTGTCGTTCATCTGGTTTTTGTTGTTGATGGTCTCGTTTCGTCGTCGTCCCATTGACTGGTGCTAATCTTGCTGTTGGTTGGATCAGTTGATGTCTTTTATTTTCGTTTAGCGGCCGCTCAAGATGTTGGCCGATGTCTTTGATTTTATAAAGAATTGGCGACTTTATTTCCACCAAGAGCTTTTGTAATTCGGCAATAATTGTTTCAATGATTCGATGGATTCCAACAATACCATAACGTACAGACGCTTCATCACTGGGAATTTCTATTCTGAATTCTGCAGCCGTCAAAGCTATGCAAGCAAAAAGAATAACACAGAAAAACCTCATCGTTTTTAAACTTTTGTTTTGATTTTCAGGCGGTCACAACACTGCTTACTGACAAATCCATCGCAGTACTAGCCTTTTTATATGATTTTGCGTGGAAGTTTATTCTTTAAAATTGCATTACATTTCATTCCATTTGGCAAATGTATTTAAATTAAATGAACCAAACAATTATGCCAGTATTTCTCTATATCCCGTCTGTAAATATTCTAACTGGGCGGTCTGTAGATTATTTTGCTAGACATATTTGACTGAATAAGAAAAAAATAAATGAAGATAAATGGATATTCAGCACAAAAGCTATGATCTTTCTTAAATGAAATCATAGTTGACTAAAATGTTCCAATTTAGTCTGGCGCAAAATAACACCGCAATCGACTATTTTTCAAAACTTTCGCCCAGCTAACTTAGTTAGCCCAGCTATAGTCGCTTATTACTAGATTGAAGCTACCATTTGGTTTGCACACGGGATAAATCCGATTATTTTCCAATAAATCAATCCAGAACTTTATCATTTTATATCTTAACTAAACAGATTTTGTATAGAATATTTATTGCTTAACCCTCAAATGAATTTTGCACCATGATGGACGCTTTATTCTTGATTTTATTCAACACAACTGGCTAATTTTCGGGCATAGATAGCGAAAAAATTGTATTTTTTGGAAATTATTGCAAAAGTCTACAAAACTAAAAACCACCCGTAGATCTCATGCATACTAGGGGTGATCAATTTTCAAAAAAAAAAACGGTTCAAAATATAATAGTGCGGGATCGAAAGATCATGAGGAGAGATGAAAATTTTGTTCCGGCACTTTTTTGATATATAGTGGCTGGTGTCACCCCGGATTTTTTTTGAAAATCACCTAAAAATGACCATTTTTCGACATATTATCGCAATTTGCTCTAAATGTGATGCTTAAACATACCGTTTTTTTGCCGTAATTCGGCAGCTCGTAACAAACTACGTTGAATAGGATCGATTCACAGCGATTTATTCCAGGATATTTAAAAAAAATAGTGCCAATTTGCCAAAAATCGCCGAAATTTGTCATTTTTCTGTATATTTGCCCATTTATGGTGATCCAGTACACTATAAATCAATCTGAAAATATCTCTATCCGACTCTGTTTGTTTCTAGCTATCGATATAACGCCATATTACAACTCAAAATCTGCCTCTGGACATGGATAGAGAAACAAATATTCGAAAATCACCTCAAATTTGGCCATTTTTTTTCAATTAAAAATTATAAAAGCCTAATTATAGCCAACATACGTACGAAAATGTGTCACATCTATCCAAAAAGTGTATTTCTAGGGTACCTCCCGAATAAAAGTTACGTTTTTTCATAGCAAAATGCATGAAAAACGTAACTTTTGTTCGGGAGGTACCTCAAAAAGCCAATTTTCAGAGTTTTTGTCTGGTAAGATCCCCATATTTTCGAAGAAAAATAACTTTGCACAAAGACACCCACCCTAAAAGGTCTATACTTAAGGATTTTTTGGCCAAAAATCGATTTTCTGAGAGTTGAAATCGAACCAACCGAATATGCGGCTAGAAATATATGAAAACATCACTCGACTTGGTCATGTAGGTACTTAAAATGTTCGTGAGGAATCATACTAGATGTTCAAAGGTAGCAAAGGCAGAAATTGTTTGCTCAATGGGTCGATTTAGCCGTGAAACTGAAGCTCATGGTCGTGATTTGCACAATTTGGTCCCAGGAAATCTTACTTTTTGACACAAAAATCACACAAACCTGTAACAAATGAAACTAGAAATCGATCCCTCGTCTAAAATTGGCTGGATATAGACACATTTTCGTACTATGTTCACTATAATTTGGCTTTTATAATTTTTAATTGAAAAAAAATGGCCAAATTTGAGGTGATTTTCGAATATTTGTTGCTCTATCCATGTCCAGAAGCACATTTTGAGTTGTGATATGGCGTCATATCGATAGCTAGGAACAAACAGAGTCGGATAGAGATATTTTCAGATTGATTTATAGTGTACTGGATCACCATAAATGGGCAAATATACAGAAAAATGACAAATTTCGGCGATTTTTGGCAAATTGACACTTTTTTTTTTAAATATCCTGGAATAAATCGCTGTGAATCGATCCTATTCAACGTAATTTTCTACGAGCTACTAAATTACAAACAAAAAACGGTATGTTTATGCATCACATTTAGAGAAAATTGCGATAATATGTCGAAAAATGGTCATTTTTAGGTGATTTTCAAAAAAAATCCGGGGTGATACCAGGCACTATATAACAAAAAAGTGCCGGAACAAAATTTTCATCTCTCCTCATGATCTTTCGATCCCGCACTATTAAATTTTGAATCCTTTTTTTTTTTGAAAATTGATCACCCCTAATGCATACGAAGGTTAATAATAATTTATCGGTAATCCAAAGATTTCATTAACAACATGTGGAGTAGAGTGGCCCAAAAAAAAAAGTTGTCCACAAAAAAAAGTGCCGACCGGATTCGAAAAATATACCACAAAAAAATAGGTTTTGTCAAAAAAAATCATATAGTCACCATATAAAATACCCTGCCAGTTTTTATATCAAAATTTTCATGATAGCGATTTCGGAAGCCAGTCACTACAATTAAATTCCGACCACTACAATAACCGTAGGTGCTTCTACAATTATTTTCGGGCCACTACAATTAATTCTTGGTTATTAAAACACGTTTTATAGCAGTTTATAGCAGTTTTATTCCCATATTAAATATTAAACTCCCCTGGAGCCAAATAAGTTGTTGAAAACATCAAGGATCGGATGACTGATTTGAATTCTACATTTTTTCTACAATTTTATGGAACCTAGCATCAAAAGTGGAAGATTCAGTTTGTGGAAATTTCAATTTGTGGCCAAGATTTGAGCGATTTTGGACCAATTTTCAAGACTCGTCCCGATATCGAACGAACGGGCAGACATATTTGAAAACAGACAATTGATTTGAATGCTACAATTTATCTACAATTTTTTAGAAACATTCTTCATTCGAAAAAAATTCGATTTGTGGAAACTGGAAAATACGTTTTTTGACCAAGATTTGAGTTGTTCCATTTTATAGCAGTTTTTCGATAGCCGATTACTCAAAAAAATTGTTCCTACATAAAAAAAGTAAAAACACTACATTAAAGTACATAAAATCTACAATTGAAATCGCCCTGTCCGAAGTCGTTTCGGCAAATTTGCCAAGATTTGAATATTCATCTACACAATTTTTGGCGCGCCATCCAACCCCGGAAAAAGTCACAATCGGGTGAAACTAACGGGGTCGTATTGAAGAGAAACGATTGCAGTGAATGCCAAATGCACTGCCATCAACTGCGGCTCGGCCAACAACCTCTGACACGCCCAGAATTTTGCGGCCAACGTAACGATTGGCTGGTTAGTTGCGAAATGTGTTGCAAAATGGATAGCAGTCGCATACATTTCATTCACTATTTCAATATAGAATATATAGTTTTGTTTTGCTTGTTTTTTTCATGATTTTCTATTTTATGTTATTTTCCAGGAAAGAAAACAGAAACTATGTTGTGTGCCGCTGTAACGCCAGGAACGCAGAAAACAGTGGCCAATGCAAAGGTTCTATTGTAGTGGTCCTATTCGATGGCCAATACTTCGGCCACTATCATCAGGTAGAGCACCGATGTGCCTGATATAAAGGTAGTTTGTCGGAAAACCTGTCGAAAAAAGAAGGTAATTCTAATTTTTGAAAAGAAATTATCAATTATTTCAATTACCAAAATAAAACCATTCTCATTGTATTATTTCAGTCGATGCCGCTGAAATCGAGGAGCTTCGTCGCAAGTTGGCGGTAATTATGCATAGCTTTATTTGAATGGAAATGATTTCATATTTTCTCTAACATTTTTCGATTTCTTCTAATTTCAAAAGGACTCAGAGCAGCAGAACGTTAGCTTGAAAGCGCGAATCCAGCAGCTTGAGCATCCGTTAATGATTCCGCAAATAAGTCGGACTAGTATGACGCCGCCAAATGCACTGCCATCAACTGCGGCTCAGCCAACAACTTCCGCTGGCACGCTCAGAATTTCGCGGCCAACTGGACGATTGGCTGGTTAGTTACGTTTAATTTATCTTTTCTTTTAAACATATCTATTCGTGAGACGTAAAAAAATGTATGTTTTTTTGTCGATTTATATTTTTGAAAAGGAAAGTATGTTTTCTGTTGATTCTATCTGCGTTAAAAGGAAGTATGTTGGCATCCCGTCTAGTCTCCGCGGTTTTTCACGGTTTCCGCGGAACTGATAAGAGATAACAACTTGGTGTCTTCGGCAAAGTTGTAGCACTCGAGGTATTCACTGTGAATGAAAAATAAATGAGTAAAATATTCTCATATACAGTCTGTCTAGTTATAGACGATAAGGGAAAACGATGTTCAAATTTGAATATATTTAAATAGGCTTTTTGGTGTGGTCAGATGCGACTCTAACCTCGGCCGCAAACTGCATTTGACAGATGTAAAGTCACATTGGTGCTCTTATTTTAATTGAAAACATGAATTCGGAATACTATACTAAACGTTTTGAAGCAGTTTTCCTGCATTTGCATCCACGCGGGCCAAAATTATCGCTTACAGCAACCGCCCGATACATTAAAAAGACGGTGCCATTCGTCCAGCGTTGGGTAGATCAATATAAACGTGAAAAAAATGTGAACGACCAGCCAAACATTAAGCCCAACCGAGCATCCACGCCGAAGCAAGATCAGCGTATTGCTAAGGTTTTCGATCAAAACCCAGGTTTGTCGTTGCGTCAGGGGGTACAACGACTACGTCGATCAAATATCAACGTTTCAAGAGAGACACTGCGAAAGAGATTAGGTAAAATGTCGTTAAAGTATCGCTCCACAATGAAAAAACCTCTTTTGAAACCAGAACATATCGAAAAACGACTACAATAGGCAACCGAAAATTTGGACACTGATTGGAGCAAAGTTATATACACAGATGAATCATCGTTTTGGTTGTCGAATTCCCTCACCCATACTTGGTGCACACGCGAAAAAAGAACGGTGGTTCGCACGGTTAAGCATCCGCAAAAGGTGCATGTGTATGGAGCCTTCTGTGAAGCCGGTTTTGGTAAATTAACCGTGTTTACTGGTATCCTAGAGAATTATCGAATGCGCCAGTTGTACAAATCGACATTGCTCCCCACCGCCAAGAAGTTCTATGGCAACGATACGTCGAAATGGATTCTACAAGAAGACAACGACCCAAAACACAAAAGTCGTTTATGTACTGCTTGGAAAGAGGAAAATGGGATTCAACAGATGGATTGGCCGGCTCAATCTCCAGACTGCAATCCGATTGAAAACGTTTGGTCCATCATGAAGCAGAGACTCAAAGGCAAACATATTCGAAGCACAAAACATCTCACTTTGTTCTTGAAGCGCCAGTGGGACAGCCTTTCGCGAGAATATGCTGAAAATTTGAGCAAAAGTATGCCTTCACGCTGTGCCCGTGTTATCGAAAAACAAGGCGAATGGATTAACTATTGAATTGTTTGCGACCGAGCTGAAGGCTCAATAAAAATATCTCGAAAGAGAAATTTGAAAAATTCTTGTGTTTTCACTTAGATATCCCTTATCGTCTATAACTAGACAGACTGTAATTTATACTAAACATACAGATTTTTGTTCACATCATCATACAAATTAATTTCGTCCCCGGCAGCCTTTGTTATTTCCAATGCGAACAGCACGGCTCTGTAACTCGCTCCACTCGCTGAAAGTCCCACCATCATCTCTCGCGGGCGCCAAAATCAAGTCGAACAATTTTCAGGATAAACAAAAATCAGAATGAACAAAAATCAGGAATGCGACAGAATCAGGAATTTCATCCGAATTTTCGTTCATCCTGATTTTAATACTATCCGGATTTTATCATCCTGATTTTAATGCTATAATGTGTCTAGTGCAGCAAGGCTTTTTCGAGCGGCTTGCATTAAATTTTCGGAAATCGGCGCCTCGTTGATCTTTGGTTCGGTCTTTTTTTTTAACGGATTCGGCAAATTTAATTGTGTTCATCGTTTTCTATCCTTGCTAGGAGAAACAGTGCAAATGAAGGCGGTCTTACAATTCCCTTGAATTGACTCCTTCAAGATTTTGCAAAGGTTGCCAGACGCTGTACTTCTTTTCACTATCATTGACAGATGAAGCAAGCTCGACCGTATCTCGTTTCCCTCTGTTTGCTGAACTTTTGTTTTGCCGGCTCCATGCGGTTCAGAGCCGGCCAAATCGATGAAGTTCAGCACACTTGGTAATGATGTCCCTCCCTCCAATTCATTCGCATCAATCTTCTTCGATTCCAGTTTAATCTGCAAAAATACACTTTTTGGATGAGTTTCTTGGTAAAAAATTATTTTTTTCGAGAAATATTGGGAATCTTCTCACACAGATGCTCTTATAACTGATTTTTGGGGTACCTTCCGAACAAAAATTGATAATTTCATAGAAAAATGTATGAAAAACGTAACTTTTGTTCGGGAGGTACCTTAAAAAGACAATTTTGAGAGTTTTTGTATGGGTAGACTCCCCATATTTTCGAGAAAAAATAACATTGCATCCAGACACCATTCCTAAAAAGCCTATACTTAAGGATTTTTTGGTCAAAAGTCGATTTTTTGGGAGTTGAAATCGAATATGAGGCCAGAAATATGTGAAAACATCACTCGATTTGGTCATTTAAGTACTCAAAATGTTCGTAAAGGACCATACTAGATGTTCGAAGGCAGTAGAGGTAGAAATCGCTTGCTTTTATCTGTCAAATCGAAGCTCATGTTTGTGATTTGCTCATTTTGACCTGAAATTTGTCTTTTATATCTAATGACTAGATCGAGAGGAGAGTATGTGAAAAAATTCTAATATATTTTGAAAGAGGATAGTATGTTTCTGATGATTCTGTTGGCGTTAAAGTAGAGTATGTTGTAGTACCGTCTAGCCTCTGCGGTCTTCACGGTTTTCGCGCAACTGATAGGAGATAACAACATGGTGTCTTCTGCAAAGTTGTAGTAAAGTTGAGGTCTTCTATAACATTGCTGAAGACATCTATCTCTTATCTCTTATCAGTTGCGCGCAAATCGCGCACATAAAAAAGCAAATTTTATATAGAACTTTATTTTTTCTTATCATTTTTCGCGCTTTTCGCGGAACTGATAAGAGAAAAGAGATAACTGACTTCAGCAATGTTATAGAAGACCTCGAGTGCTTCAACTTTGCCGAAGACACCAAGTTGTTATCTCTTATCAGTTCCGCGGAAACTGTGGAAAACCGCGAGGACCCGCCAAAAATGAACATACTCGCCTTTAACCATTTTTGAGTCGAAAGAAACTTACTCTTCTCTTTCATAACAAAGTCAGATGAACTTACTCTCCTCTCGATCTAGTCAATAGATATGTGAATCAATTGACACCGAATTTCATCCAAATCGCAATCTGAGAAGTACCAAAATTTTTGTACATGTTCTAGCTACACGACACAAGTCGAAAACCGAACAAAAATCCATCGCCTGGGTGGCCAGTAGAGCGAAAAATGCAAAAAATGCCGAGAAATTGGCATTTTTTCGGTCATTTTACACTGTAACTGGCCTAGGATGCCTTTTCAAAGGCAAAAGTCTTGGTAAAAGTTGTAGATATTGACGAGCCAAATAAAACCCCATCATTGGTTTTTGCCGAAAATTGGCTGGAAAAATGATTTAGGTCGAAATGTTGCGATATGAATTGGCTTCCGAAATCGCTATCATGAAAATTTTGATATAAAAACTGGCAGGGTATTTTATATGGTGACTATATGATTTTTTTAGACAGAACCTATTTTTTTGTGGTATATTTTTCGAATCCGGTCGGCACTTTTTTTTTGTGGACAACTTTTTTTTTGGGCCACTCTAATGTGGAGATTCGGATAAATTAAAATTTGAATGAATTTCTGATGCTTGAAATCCACATACGAGGGCAAACTAAACTGTAGTTAATCACATCTGGCCAAGTGACCATAGTTGTAAACATGGACATGATTGTCCATTTGAACATGTGTTTTGCACAAACCATATTGATTTTACACCTTGCCAGCCTTACATATAGCTAATGAAATTTGGTGAATGTTTTTGTATCACAAATCCAAGTGTAATCATTCTAAATATAAAACGTCTGCTTATTTGCGCTTAAATCGACTTGCTGCCCATGGTCGTAATTGAAATTCCATTTAGAATCAACTCAACTCTACTCATTTTAACTAAATGAACTAGAGTACTTTTACTGTGGATAGTTTCAAAAATGATCAATCAAATTGAATTTCATTTCATTTACTGAGAATCGTTGGATGTAACATGAATCGATTTCAGTTTGCCTGAAAAGATTGAAAACGACAATATTTGAAGTTATCAAAAATGTTGAACCAAAATTTTGGTTGGAAGCTTTATTTTCCTTCCAAAACGAAATAAAAAGACACCATTTTTAATGCAGACCAATACAAATATAGAGAATATTTATTAGATTTTCAAAAACTGGTTACATTTATTTTTTTTTTGTTAACAAACATACATAAAATCTAAAAAAATTGAACAATTGGGCAGAATCAAAAGAGAGCTCGATGTGGGTTAGGTGACGTTTATTTGATTGAAGAAGAGATTTGTTTTGAGGTTATGTGCTTGAACGTCAACTCAAAAGCTTAAACACTTCTGTTGGCTATCAAAGTAGAAGATAGCCAGATTGAAATGGAAGTTAAACATGGATTGATTTGGCCATGAGTTAGCAGTTAGCAGCAGCTTTTTCAAATTTATGTATTTCGATTCAGCAAATTGTTTCTGTTTTCCGATTAGTTCATGTGGGTGATTAATTTGGAAATCAGATCAAAGCCGAAAATATGGGAAGTAATGATAGAAGAAAATATTGCGACTTTTAGAACCAATGCTGATGAACAGCAGCAGCAAAACTATCAAATTAGCAGAGTGAGTTGCTATGGTTGGGATCAACTTCTGAAAGAGTGAAAGGGATTATGAAGTTTAGGTGTTTTTTGTTTATAAAAAATAACTATTCTGCGAATTCAAACCCAAAACATGGTTTTGTGTCATTAAAAAGATTGATGGTCAACGGTTCATAGATCGGGTCATTACAGAAATAGAAGACAAATGGGAAAGAGGAAAGATTAAAAGGGAAAGGGAACCGAAACAGCAACACAGAATATTTTCGCCAAAATTTCTCCCCGTCAAATATTGTTGTTGTTGCATTTTTACATCACAATCGAATCTTCGATCATTTTGACACTTCTTTGCATCAATTGCGCCACGACAATACATTCTACAGATAAAATTTTAAAACTTTTTTTTTCTTTCAAAAATATGAGCCATGTAATGTGAAGTTTTTCCTCTCTCTCCAACCAATGAATCCGATAAAAAAAGGAAGTGCAACTTTGAGTTAAAATGTTTAGTGATTAAATAGATAAACTGTGTGTGATACGGTGAGCAAATGTCATTTGAGTGGTCAGTTCATGAATGGTAATTGTCCATTTACAAAGCTTTGACACTTTTGCCGGCAAAAAGTCCTTTGAAATGGTCTCCAAAGCTGCGAACAGAAAGAAAATTGGAAAAGTTTAGAAGCAAAATCAAATATTTGAAATCAAAATATAGTCAGGAATAAAGTCTTAATGAAAAAAAATTGACTAAAATAAAATTTTAATCGAAAATCAACTAAAATCGATATTATAACTTGACGAAAATGTCTTTTAATCATTTTTTTTAGCCTTTTCTTACCTTTTTGGTTTGATTGAATCGTCCTTCTTGATGATGTGAAAAGCGATTGCACCGAGAGCGGCCAATTGAATCAATTGCCAAGCAAGATCGGATGAAACAAGGGATGGTTTTTCAACTGCTGCCATTACATCTTCAGGTACAGTGAATATTTGTCTTGAGAGGCGATTCACAGCATTACGTTCATCGCGTCGAATGTCTGAAAGTCGTTCTTTGCGCAAGACACGGATTTCACGTCTTTCAGCATCAGTTCGGGTTTCTAGTAGAGTGTCTCGTCGTTGGTTTTCCGTGCGACGCTCTGCTTCTGAGCGAGAGTTTGCTCGGGCTTCGCGTCTTTCAGCATCAGTTCGGGTTTCTCGTAGAGTGTCTCGTCGTTGGTTTTCCATGCGACGTTCTGCTTCAGAGCGAGAGTTTGCTCGGGCTTCACGTCTTTCAGCATCAGTTCGGGTTTCTCGTGGAGTGTCTCGTCGTTGGTTTTCCATGCGACGCTCTGCTTCTGAGCGAGAGTTTGCTCGAACTTCGCGTCTTTCAGCATCAACTCGGGTGTCTCTTCGAGCATCTCTCCGTTCGTTTTTCATTCGGCGTTCGGCCTCGAACCTGTTATCGACACGTCGTTCATTGCTTCTTCGGGATGATTCGCGGTCCATTCGTTCTTCTCGGCGAATTTCCCTTAGGTCTTGGCGTTCCTCACGCATATTACGTTCATTTCGGTTGTCTCGAACTTCTCGTCGTCTTTCACCATCCATTCGTTCATTTCGTCGTTCGTTCTCTGTGCGTCTTTCAGCCTCCAATCGGTTGTCATTCAAACGAATTTCACGTGTTTGCATTCGTCGTACGTTTTCATCAACTCGATTTTCTCGACGGGACAAACGTTCTTCGGCATCTCGTCGTTCATTAGCGAAACGAGCGCCTTCTTCAATCCGTTCAGTTCTTGATTCATGGCGGACAAGTCGACTTTCATCTTCCGAACGTCTTCGTTCACCATCTAAACGTCGGTCATTTTCCATTCGCCCACTTCGGCGAGTATCATCACGCTCAGACAATCGACGACGTGCTGCATCGATTTCTCTGCGAATAGTGCGCTCTTCATCGGTTTTGAATCGTCTTTGGCTACGCACGCGTGCATCATCACTACGTCTTGATACATCACGCTCTTCGCGATCGACTCTTCGTCGGCTGACAAACCCATCGCGTTCAGATCGTTCATCTGAGGAAAAAAATTGGACAAATCAGTCAAAATGAATGCAAAGCCATTCAAAAATGATGAAAATTCACACAAAACCAGAGAGAATCCCAGTAAATTTTAAACTTATCAATATTCCAATTTTTTTTCTTCAAAATTACAAAAAAAAACATCAAATTTAAATAAAAATCGTACGAAAAAGGCCCAAACGCCAATTTGTCTTATTTTAATAAGTAAAAAGTAGTCAAACCTCGTCGATTCAAGTGGTTGCGTCGTTCATCCTCGCGTTCGAAACGTCGTCTTGACTCGTCCCCACGTCGAGCATCATCATAACGTCTCAATGCATCGACTCTTCGTCGACCAACGAACTCATCCCGTTCAGATCGTTCATCTAAGGAAGAATGGATTTTAGATTCGAAAAGAAATCCAAAAATTTAGCTTTTTTTCTTATAGTCAGTTTTCTTGAAAAATAGGATACGAATTAAAGAATCAGAAAAATTGCATAAAAATTCATTCTGATTGAAGAATGATAATGATGAGTAATGGTAATAATGGAGAAAAAATGAAACAAAATCCAATTTAAATTGGAAAAATCGTTCAAAGTGAGTGCAAAGTTATTCAAAGGTCAAAACTGATGAAAATTCACACAAAACCAGAGAGAATTACAGTAAAAATATAAATTACCAATCAAACTTTCACTTTTTTTTTCGAAATAACAGAAAAAACATCAAATTAAAAAAAAAATCGCACAAAAAAAGCTCAAAAGCCAATTTGTCTTATTTCAATGAGTAAAAAGTAGTCAAACCTCGTCGGTTTAAGTCGTTGCGTCGTTCATCCTCGCGTTCGAAACGTCGTCTTGACTCGTCCGCGCGCCGAACATCAAATTCACGGTGTAATTCATCGCGTTCTTCGCGTGCAACTCGTTGTCGGAAATCAACACGTTCGTCTGTACAAAAGGGAAATTTTAGGATTTTTTCTTTAGTTTTTTTGTTACCTAATATTCAAAGTCGAAGTTTTCATTCTGAGTTTTAAAAATGTTTTAAACATATTTTGATATTTTTCACAGTTTTTCCCTTTTTCCACCCTATTTTTCGCAAATTTTCAAACAAATTGGCAATAAAACAGATGTAAAAAGGTGAAATTTAGTAACATTTTAAACATTATGCGTTGTTTGAACTTTAACAGTGTGAACATTTTACACGCAGAAAAAAATACTCAAATGACTTTCAAGTCAAAACGACAAGACTTGAAAAGCGTCAAATTGACAGTCTTACTTTGCCGTTTTTCTTCATTTCTCTAGAGAATGAGCTGCAACACAAATGGTGTGTAATTGTAATTGTAGTTACATACCTCTGCGTTCAATATCCCGGAATCGTCGTGAAATCTCCTTGTCGTTGTGGTTGTCAATGCGCCTTAAGTTGCTTGAGTCGTCACAAAAGCCGCCGTTCAATCGGTCAACATCAGTACCGCAATCCGAACGAATCAGATCCAAGCCACTGAATGCAAGCAGTAGAAGAGGGAAAATGTATGTTTGCCAAAATACCATTATCGAGAGATTCCGTAGAAAAATGCCGTAAAAACCAGTGTTTTTCTCAGCAGCACAAAATAAAGACACGCTTTATTTTGCCTTCGATTTAACACAACGCAAACGTTTGTTAAAACTTGCCAATAGTTTTGGACTATTTTATGGATTCGGTTCAGAAAAAATCTGTTTAACACTTGAAATTGTCACTGGGAGTGATTTGAGCGGTTTGAAAGCAAATCAAAACTGTGCTGGTTCCATGGATTTGTCGATGCTTTTATACGATTTTCTCACCAGAAATGTCTATGCGACAAATTGAAACGGATAAGAATCGTTCAATTTCACACTTAATTTCCCTGCGAGTGGTTTGCACACTTTGTGGCGCTAATTCCATTGCAGCGGTGTCACATGTGCCGTCTAATCAATCCAATGAATGTAATAGATGCGTGCGACTGAAATTAGGTTTACTCTTATCATCCACCGCACACTGGTTACACATAGAAGACAGGAACCGGCCATGCATCATTCAAGCAAATAGGATTTAAAATTGATTTTCAATCATTTCCATTGTCTCTTTTTTATGGCCACAAAAATAATGGAAATTGTGACGCAGTTCCTGTTATCAGCTTTTTTTAGCCAAAACACTTTCATTGTCAAGGAACATGTGCGAACAATGACGTCAGTTCATTCATAAATTTGGTCAAAAAAAAACACTCCTGGCCACGCGTATGGCTTTTTTTGTACGGTGACAACTTCTGTATGCTTCACTAAAGCATTGCTTCAGATTTTTCAAATGAATGAATTTATCATCTTGTTTTACACTTCAGTGGAATTGCGTCAAACAAAATGCACTACGTCGTAGAAAATCGAAGATGATGACGAGAAAGAAATAAAGTTCAAGTTTAAAGTCAAGCTCAGGAATGCAGAATACACGCAGGAGAACCATATTTTTGTCTATCTTTTACGGTTTTAAAGTTTTGCGAATTATTCTTTCTATGTTCTACAGAGATTTTCAGTGAATTGTAACCCTTTTCGGACGAAATGAATTTGAAGTGAAGCAAAATATTGATGTTCTTCAAACAAAAGCCGATTTTCTTCAACTTTTGTTAAGGAAAACCACTTTTCGAATGGACATAGACATATTTTGGCTCAGAAAAACCTTGTTTGGAAGTTGAATTTTCCATGAAATACAAATTTTTTTGACGAAAAAAGTGTTTAACCTTAACCAAACCAGGTAATTTGAATCAAATGTACTCAATTGATGAAAATATGGCATTAAGTGCAAAACATATTTACACTTTGCTAGGATTAGCATTGCAATTAAATCATTATGATGATTATAATGTAGCCATTGACTGCCAGTCAACAGCTTAGTTTCAACTTTATTCTTTAATATAAATCTCTATTCGCTGGTGCATGTCTATTGTAACTCAATCAAAGGGTTTTCCAATCTCTATTTCAACGAATAAATTGTTCAATTTCACTTGGATTGTAGGAGCACGTGACTCAATTCAATAGCAAGCAAATCGCAACACCGGCAAATATTCATGCATCCGCCGGATGTCATCCAATTTACTTGATAAGCTTTTCCTCAAGGTTGAACAGTGAACACTGTATGAGGTCTAACTGAAGGGAGAGTAAATGGAAAGAACAAAGGCGAAGAAAATAATGTGATTCATTCTTGCAGAATGCATTTTCCAAGGTCAAAAAATGTAATTTTTCTTTTTGTGGACGGCAAATAAAATGAATTGTATGGTTCTATTCAAGGTCACACCTTGTCTCTATTCAAGGTGAAACAATGTAACATAAACTCATAGCTTCCTACTCAAAATGTGTACGAAATCTCAAGAATATTCATTTTGTTGAACGGAATTGCTTTAATCATTAATAAAATCGTGCTGCCTTACAAAAGAGGGCGAAAAGAGGGAATTGAAAAAAAAAATAAGAAAAAAAACACATTACCATTGCTTGTGGACGTCCATTTTCAATTTTTATTTGTTTCATATTCAATGAACATATGAGGCTGTGAGAATGAAAATGGCAATACAGGAATAAACATTCTGAAACGCATCAAGAAAAAAAATTCGTAAAAATGAATCATGAGTTCTGAATATGCAAAAAAGAGACATGAATTTACATGGGCAGCATAGGAGGTTCATGGTTCACTTTTGCGTATTCAGAACTTATGATTCACTTTTGCGAATTTTTTTTTCTTGATGCGATTCAGAATGTTTATTCCTGTATTGCCATTTTCATTCTCACAGCCTCATATAAATTTGATTGTATTAAAATATACATCAATTTCACTTGACTCCAATGTTGACATTGATTCGTAAATAATTCTCAGTTCAACTTCAATCAGTCACTTGCAGACTAGCTGCGTGACAATACCTGTCGGTAATAGGATTGAAACATTTTTTGTTGAAATCACAAGGTTGCTGCAACAGCAATATACCACAGGCGATCCGGTGGAACCGATTGTAATGTGTTGAAAAATACATTGTAACACAGGATTTTACTATCGATACCACAAGGTGTCGCTAGTGGTGTATGCTCTTGCAGCAACGGTGTGGTTGGAATTTAATAAAATTTGGATGCAAAATGTGTAAAATATTATACTTCTACAGCTATCACGGTCATTTTTGAATACAATTAAATACATTCTAAAAGTTTATATTTTATGTGTCGATAATAAGATTATTCAAATAGTAAATTATATTAACCCTCTAATGCATACAACCGCCTCTAGACGGGCAACATTTGAACGCCTGTAGAACGTAAACCGTACATCGGATCACATTGCTTCGAAGAGAATTTTTATTCGTCAATGTTCTCTCTTTATTTTTGTTTTTGGCAATATTTGTCTATGTAGTGTGATTGTAAAGTTATAAACAAAAATGTGTGCAAAAACAAAAATTTGACTAAATAAATTATTCGAACTCGAAATTAGACACATTTTTGACACTTTTAAACAATGGATTTGATTGTTCTCTGATTTATGTCAATCGCATTTTCTGACTAAACCATGAGGAATCCAGGATTATGAATATTTTTTTAATTATCTATGGCCAAAAATCAACCAAGTACCAGTACTCCCAGCCCTGGGAAAAATTAATGCATTAGAGGGTTAAGTATTATTATCGATAATAATATTTCGTGTAGATATCCAGCTCCAAAAATGCCATGGCTATCATAAAATAGAAGAAATGTGTAAAGTTTCAGTACAAATGGTGTTGATGTTAGTTCAATAGAGAATTAGTCAATTTTCCGTTGTTTCTTCGAAAGCATTTTCAGAGCCATCTTGTATTGCTTGGGACAGCGCACAGATACTGGAATACATTGCTTGCGAGATGGATCGGACACAAGGTCAAGAGCATACAATTCAGATGGATGCATACCTAAAACAGAAAGAAACGTCAAGTGCTTCAATTGAAAAATGATAAAACATCTCTTACATTTGATTTCATTGGTGGACACAAAATCTTCATCCACGATCCATTCATTCACGGTCATTTTATTCTCTCCACTCGAATATTCCACCAGTCGATGCCAGGATAAGTCGTTTTCCTTTTTAACGGATGGAGAAAGAACAAGAATAGAAATGAAAATTCACAAAGAAATTCAATAAACGTCTATAGACATAACTGATCCATTGAGAATAAAAACATCGTATATGAAAACTCTATGTAGAAAAAACGCAGTCTTTCGCTTTGTTCGGCAGATTTTCAATACACCGTTTTTATTCTCTGCAGATCAACTATGATTTTGGCCGCTCACCAAATTTGTGCGATTGAGGAAAAGTAAAATCTCGTTCACTAGAATAATTACCAGCATTTTGTCGCCTTTAATTGCACATTTTTCCACCGATGGCCGAATCGTGACCGCGTCAACGCCAAATGTTTTTCCAAGCATTACAACGTAAAGCGCAACAAATAACAATGTTATAATCAAACGAATATGCATTTTGAGTCGACTGTAGGATAATGCTTCGATTTTGGATTCAATTCTTCGAATGAGAAAAATCAGAAAAATTCAAGTTTCAATATCAAAATCAAAAATGAATGACAAATTTGAATAATAGTTGAATTCACACTTAAGTTTGAATTGACTGAATTTTATTGATCCTAAAGCGATTTCATTTGATTCTTTGGTTAAATTCTCTCTTTTCAACAGTGTTCTAAAGCAAGAATAATTCGTGAAGCCATGAAGAAGGATTCTTACTGTTATTCACTCACCCAAAAAAGAATTTTCACTCACCACAGAAAGAATTAGGTCATTAAAATATGCTTTTATGTTGACCGGTTTTTGTGTTTTCTAAAGAATATTGATTTTTTCACACTAAAGCGATGCAGAACAACTTGAATTAATTGATTTGATGTGAAGACAGTATTGGTTTTCTTCGACTTCGAAGAGTTTTCTTCTATTTTTTTCAAGTTCACTCGTTAAATTATGATTATTTACGGCTATTGGGTCTAGTTCTACTTGGAATGATTTGATTTGAATTCCACTCTTCGAAGTCATTGATTGTCTAAACTTGCTGTTAAAATTTCAAATTAAGCTGAGGCTCCTCAAACGCAGCAGAAAAGCAATTCGGAGTTATTCAAACGAAAGACGGTATGAAACTGCACGAATCGATTGAATTTTTGAGTGCATTTATAGTCTCGATTCAATAGGCAAATGAAGCACGTGTGACTCTTGTTATGATATAGGTCATATGTGAAATTCTCACGTGGTGCTTTACTCTTCTTTGAATGAAGCTCTTTTTAGAGAAGAATCATACTTTTTCCAATAATTTCTATTTGATAGGTTTCCGTGTTCTCTTGGAAGAATTCACCGTTGTAATTTTTCATTCAAAATAATAAAAAATCATACGACTAGTCCTTGAGTATGACACGTGCATTGCTGGAGAAGAATTTCCACTGCAGAAATCAATGTCACGTTTTAATATATTGATAATGATTCGGGACACGCATAAAGTGGATAATTCCTTTGTCCGCACATACGAAAGCATGGACAAGTTGCAGCGATTAACATTATTCCCAAGTTCAATGAAATGGATATCGATTCAAAATACAAAGAAACTTTTCTTAAGTGCAAAAATATTGAGTACTAGTTAGCCGTCGGTTTTGATACATTTAAGAAACAATGGAATATCAGCTTCATAGAAATATTTAACCAAGCCCATTGTGAATCCATTCGCGTTTCAAATTCAATTGGTTTCCCTGGTTGCATGCTTTCCTGAAACGTCGTCAACAGTGTCTCACTAATCCAGCATATTCTTTTGGTTTTGTTTAAGACTTTTCTTCTGCTTTGCAATATCAAAATATTTGATAACTGTCATTTAATGCCATACTGAACAAAGTCAAGAAGAAAAATCACATCGAAACATCGCCGGATGAAATTTTACAAATTTTCGATTGATTTAGATAAAGGAGAGAGCAATGATCTCGTAGGTGTACCTAGGTCGCTACTACAATATAACAGACCAGACGCTGAAAAGCATTTTTTAAACGTTTCTTGTTGTTGTTGTTGTTGTTGTTTTTTGATTGATTGAACTGTGCAACGGTGTCTACCCTAGAAAGATTCATTCGGTGGAAATGATTTACATTTCAATTAGATTACAAATAGCCGCTGATTCGAGTTCAAGACAGAAATGATAACATGCATACGTTATTATCATTTTTGCACGATGAAACCGAACGACCGACCGTTTGCGTGACTCTTTGTCAGAAGCGATAACACAGATAGAATGCAATTTGGTGAAACTATGAATAAAAACAAATACAAAATTAAAAACAATCCGAATTGACAGCTAATGGGTATTACTAGTCTGGCAATACCAGATGTTGATAGAGCGAATTATGTATATATATACTAGATTATGACCGTGAAAAAAATAATGATGAAATTCGATTAGTGCAAACAATTCTCATTTATGATTTGAGTTTCGATTCAGATTTATCTCAATACATATTTGGACTTCGTCGAAATTGAATCGTTATTAGATTGGATCGCCACAATTGTAGTGTGAATGTAGTGTGATTTTTGTTGCAATTGATTGATCGTCGATTTGTTTAAACGTTTTTGCACAAAACTTAACAAGCAAAGATTCTTTTCATTTTTCTTTGTTCGTGTTTGAAGAAACGAAGATGAACACATTATTTGTGATCGTCTTGCTTGTTGCCGCATTCACTAAACCAGAAGTGGCTGGAAAATCAATGATTTCCAAAGGTAATTCAATTCTTTCAAATTCAGTTTTTCACTTTAATTTTCTACGATTGTGATTATGATTTGTTTTACTTTTGTTTTTACATTATAATTGTTCGATGTCAGTAGATGATGATCGAGATAAGGGGTAAGTCATACTCTTGAAATTGTAATTCGAAGCAATTTCATCATTTTCAGCAATTTTTTTTCTAGATTCCAAATATCAAAAAATAAAATGAATGTGCTTCTAAACGCTATCGGAGAGAGTAAGTTTTTTTATGCAATTCTATCCATGAGAATAAAAGCTCAATGCCGCAACCGTGGAAACGTGTTTTCGCACAGACGCAACATGCCCTAAGATACGACTTTTAATTTTTGCTCTATAAATTCCACAATTTAGATGATGTATCAAAAGTGCGATCTTTGATCAGCGAAGGAATGAATATGAACTTTCAATTTGATGGGAAAACTGCAATTAATATACCCGCTCAACAATTGGATCGTTCATTTTTGCTAATTTATTTCCATAATCCAGACGATTTGTTAGAAGTGTATTCTTCAAAGAGAAAAGGAAAGAGTGTGAGAATTCAATTTGATAAGGGAGAAACTCCAGTGCATATAGCCGCTAAACTTGGTAACGAATTCCCATGAAACAGGTCATTCAATTTGTACAACATTTCTTCTCTTGGTTAGGCTTTCTATATATAATAAAGTTGTTGCTTGATTATGGTGGTGTAAATGTGAACATTTTAGACAGCAACAGTTCCACACCGCTTCATGAAGCAGCCGAGTATGGTAATTGAACTTTTTCTTCAAGTCACAACCAATCGTATAACTTTGATCCAATTACAATTCAGAATCGTGGAGTATTGCTGAAACGCTTATTTATCGTGGTGCCAAAATCAATGCAAAGGATGTGCAAGCAAGGACGCCACTACACTATGCAATTTCTGGTGGTAATTTTGATCCAGGACGAATAGAGTTCATTGAATTCCTTATTGGACATGGCGCTGATATTGGGGCTAAGGACTCCGATGGATTGACGCCTCTTCATATCGCAGTTCAGAAAGGTAAATGAATATTTACTTCAAATTAAAAACGGTCTTGTGATTTAGGTACTCCATTTGTAATTCAGGATGTATGGATATCGCTCAGCGTCTCATTGAACTCGGAGCTGACGCCATTGCCAGGGATAATAAAGGACGTACACCATATAACTATGCAGGATTAATTGGTAACTTAACCTAAGAGCACTGCCTATTTTCACTTTGGTTTCGTGAATTCAGGAACATTTTCTATATATTCCCGGCGACTAGCGATTGCGTCGTGAATTTAGGACAATGTTTCAAAATTCCCGAAGCTTACGTGAAAATAGAAAATGCATGAATTCTTATCTCAAATCAAAAATAGTCATTGAATTTTTAATCGTTGTCGCTTTGTATATCAGGTTATGCAGATGATCTAAGATTGAACCTTGAGGCTAATGAGAAATTCCAAAGTATAACTTGTGTTATTGAAATAATGCTAATCATTCTACTTTAATCAAATACTTAACATTTTCATACGAACATATTTTTAATACAATTTTTTTGTTAATTTTTTAGAACATATATGGTTTTTTGTATTGTGTATTGTGACCGTAATTCTATTGTTCTTCATATGTCAAATATTTGCCTCAATTCAGTTTCACAATCGACTGCGTAAAGGAGATTCGATCGGTCATGGCCATTTTAGTGATGTGTATAAGGGAGAACTTTGGCCATTAAATCCATTGTTCCGAGCGAAAAGAGTTGCAATAAAATCGGTCAAGAGCTGCAACGAAACTGACTCAAAACTAACGGTATGTTTCGTTTAGTATTCGCTTATTGACTTTCATATCTGTCGTTCGTTTATTGATGACAAAGCTTTGATATTCTGTTTAATAGGGAACGACTGAACTATTGAAGGAAATAAATATTGTAAAACGTTTGCCCAAACATCCTAATGTGGTTCGTTTTATTGGGGCAGTCACTAAGAACCCTCTCGAAGGTAAATTTGAACACATATGAAACTCCAAACCATTGAAGCAATTAAATCTTTGATTTTCATCAGGCGAAATAAAGATCGTTTACGAGTTTTGCCCATACGGTGATCTCAAAAGTTTTTTGAAGAAAAATAGACAATCTGCGGTCGATCAGAAGCAGACAACATCGAGCCAATGTGGGTCAAAGGCTAATGCAACAGGAGTCTATGGAGCTAAAGCTGAACGAATTGATGAAGAAGGTAGGCTTTGTAAACAACATTATTGGTAAATCATGTGAATTTTTTCTAAAATTGTTTTCTTTTCTCGCTAAAAAAGGTTCACCTCTAACACCCACCTATCCATTTAC